ACATATACAGTAAAAAATGCATAAAGCAAAAGTGTAGAGTAGCCGTAACTTTTAATGGTAAAAAACACATATATACATATACATATACATATAAACATATACATACATCAAGATATGACGTCAGCCAAGAAGTTTTGAAGCCTTTCTAAAACAAAGCTGCATGTTTAACTAACAAACAAAGACAAATGATATACGTAATTATAATGCACCTTTGGAAAAATATATTTCTTCACAATGAAATACTTCTATGCAACAAATTACATTCACTCACCAAACTGTCTACTTAAATCATAAACCGCTACATATATATTCATAATTACAGTACAAATTATTTCAAAAACATACGTACACAACAACCCCTACAACAACCATATTTCCTTTAATATCACTGTACACGACATCACACCTTTTCTAACTGTTATGTGAACATAACAAAAAAGGTCTGTGATGATGCATACAACTACTATAACTTTAAACATTTTTTTTTATGCTCAATACATGTAACAACACTCCACACAACCTCCACTCACTAACAGCACTTAAACATTGCCAGCTATTGTCAAGGGGGCTATTGCATCATTGATGCTCTCTTTTTAAAAGTTAAATTTGATACCATGTTTTTAATCTCTTGTCCCACTATCTTAATTAAGCCTTGTACGAAGTAAAATCTGATTATCCTTGACTCTTCAAAAAATTTGTGCAGTAGGAAGAGATATATTTTTTTTCAAACCTGAAGTATTTCATGCATGAAATACTGTACCATTATTATTATTACCCTCCCCCTTTGCGCATTCTAATGCTCATATAAAGTCTTGAACAATTTAGGAATTAGAGCAATAGTTATAATAGAATGTCATAAAATCAAGGCTTCCCTTGAGTGAGTACTATACTATCCAGATTTGCAATTATGCAAGTGAGATGTGTAGAGCAAGAGTTACGTACTCTGTTTTGATGAGGCTCCATAGCTATTGTCATTGAAACGTGTGTGCTGTTTTGATAAGGACATATTGATTAATAGAAAATTTGGCAGATGATATTTGTTCAGTAATCCTGATATTCTAGTCAATTTAAAATGTTTTATTAAAAATTAGAAATGACATTATTAATTTGTATTGCAAATGATTAGTTTTTTTCATTTTCTGTTTTGTAATTTTTGGAAGAAGAGAACAAATATAGTTCTTAGGTAAAGGTCATACTGTAGTACCTTAGGAATGAGTCCTCATAATGTTAAATGGTTTTGCAAGATAGAAATTTACCTCATAAACATTTTTTTTCTGATATGGTTTAGTAAATAATGTTACTTCATTATTGATGAACTGTAACAGGTAAATATGACTATACCAGAGAGACTTGAAACGATAATTTGGCCAGTCAGTGGCTTGTTTCACACTACAGAAATTGAAACGAGTTGCCACAAATGCTAACACTGCTACTGAACTAAAGCCTGGTTTACATAGGAGGAATTAGACATGTTAATACAAAGACAAGCAACACTGATAGCTGCAGTAGCATTATTTGTATTATTAAATTTTGTCTACATCTTTCTAATTCTAAACAAGTTAATGTATCCCCCTTATACTGTACAGTATGTCAGTGTATATCGGTCCTATACTGTACTCATGGCATTCTTATTGAAACAGTAGTCTACACCTGCCTTCTATATTAACGTTATTGATGTCTCAGAGAAGAAATTAGCAAAAGGTGTGATGGCAGTCTTCCAATTAATTAGCATTATAATTGATTAATTAGCCAAAGCCACCTGATTGCAGTGAGTCAAGATGAATGATGCAGAACTGGAGATTATCATTTTATCTTTGACAAGTAAATTTCTTTTTGTGTGCTTTTGAGAAAATTTCTGGAAACTCCCCAAGATAATTTAGCAAGGATCTCTGCAAACTGGAGCGTATCTTCATTGCCTGCGTATATAAATTGTACTGATTTTTAGCAGTTCTGCGTATATTAAATTTTCGTAACATTGAGCAACCTACAGCCATAATATCGTCGCTTGTTCGAATGGCGCGCTCACCTGTGGTTCTGGTGTTGGTACAAGTCTTCTCAGATAAGGACTATAAACTGTAGGCTCAGTGTACACAAATGTGCACTTTAAAGAACCCAGTATATCTTTCGAGACGAGTAGGGTGTTACCCCAGTATTCTGGACCATACAGCCCCTGTTACCATGCGCTTATGGACCATAATGTCCTTTGTAGGATGTATCTTTGTAAAAAATCCCAATTTATCCAGGGAAGTGTACATACTAAAATTTCCCTAGTAGGAGACCCATATATCATTTTGTCTCTTGTTAGTCAGGTATAAGCCTTTTTTTTCCTTCTTCATATCTATCGGCAAGTACACTCACCACTTATAAACTAGGGAGTGGAGTTGTTTTCAGTCTTGCGAAAAAAAGTCCTGTAGTGAAAGAAATTGAACCCAGGACCCTGGGATTAGAAGGCAAACATCTTAACCACTAATTTCACTTTGACAAATTGATTGAAGTAGTAAATTTTGTTGGTCAAGTTTAGTTGATCAACGTGGACAATATGTCTTTGAAAGACCAAATATATATCAATCATTCACTATTAATTATGTGTAATTTGTCATAATTAGAATAAATGACTCATAATCATCATTCATAATAATCAGCTCTGTTTTCTCTTATTCAATGGAGCTTGATAATTGATTGATAATTGTTTATTGGATTAAGATTTGAATTTCTTTTCTCCTTCTGCTTCGCTGGCTCTTAAAAGTGTTACCTGATGAAATCATTGATTTCCATTCCAAAGTTAGCTCACTGTTCTGCAGTCATTGACATGAGGACAATTGCCTCTTTCATACGGTTCACGATACTAGTACAATTCACCTTCCTTTCGTCCAACTTGATAAAACATCTCTTACTTTATCAATATTCTCGTCATCATCTACATCTAATGTTTCAAAAAGTATGCATCAAATAATTAAAAAAAAAAGAAATAGATTCTTATAGTCTATCTAGGTTTAGGAATCTTGACAAAAATTAAATGATGAAAAAAATGTTTAATACTAGTAAATGTTGGCATAGACACTTCCACAAGAAATTTGAGTATGTTCAATAATGAATGCATTATCATTTTTTTCCCAATATCAAAAAGCTCAATCACCAAACACACAGAAGCTTTTTTTGCATGATGCACCATACAATTGCAATTATTTTTATTATTAAAATGATAAATTTCCAATTAGTAAAAAGAATTTTTTTTACCAAAACCATGGAACCTAGCTCTAGAATACACTGTACAAATTTTGCCTAACTATGATACAAAGAAAATTACAATAATAAGCATGCGTGCATATTTGGGGTCAATGTGTTGACATCGAAGCCGAGAATGCCTTTTTGGATTAAAGTATAGGCCCAGTCACTGTACTCTTTTGCAAGCAGTCAATTTTGTATACATCCTGTGGTTGCAAAATCTACGAAATCAGTAGGCGAATGAAACTGTAAGCTGACTGTTGATAAGGATTTTAAGTAAATTTGAAATGAGATAAACTTAGTCTCACAAACAGAGTAGTGTTTACTCAAGATGAGATTAGTGGTAATTAAAGTTAACGTGCATTTGCTTAGTATCGCAACAGATCGGCAATGCTACAATACTGTACACCACACATCCAATGGCTATATACCGATATTGTTAATTAACATTTATGGCAAACTCAAAGTACATTTGCATGCGTAGAAATAATGCGATATGATATGGTGTGCTTTATTTGTCCATTAAATTCTTTGGTACAAATGAAATTGCTCTCTATTAATTAAGGAAAAAGAAAAAAAAAAAAAACCTAACCAAAATTCCTTGGGTGAGCTAAGTGAACGACTTTTCAGATTTTCAGAGGACAGGGAAAATGATAACATTTTATTTTCTTATTTAGCAATATGGTTCTACCGAAAGCATTTAGGCAGAAGAGATAATAAAAATATTTTATGACGAATAAAAGTAAAAGTGATTTAATTCTAAAATAATTGAATTTGCTAATGCAAACAAGTTCAAACAATTAAATTAATGAGACTAAAAATAATTTATGCAAACAGTTATAGTTTGCCTTGAATTTATTGTTATGTACAGTAGTTAATATCAAAGATTTTATGTGTCAGTGTTATTAGGTTAAGGGTTAAAATATTGTTCAAAGTATGTCAAAGGTTATCTAAATATGATGCAGTTTGATATGTATCTTGATGAAATGATATGCAGTGATCTGAAGTTGTTTTTCTTTGAATGAACTGTAACCTAGCAACACAAGTTGTTTAAATGGAGGAACACAAGAGAATTGAAGGGGGTTGGCTCCTGTTTCCATGTTTCAGAATAATTGAGTGTTGTCCCTTGTGTTTTTTGTTTTTGTTTGCCTGTGTTACATTTTCTAGGCTTTAATTCAAACTGTTCTTCAGGATACTTCTTGTCATAGCTAGTGAGTGATTATTCACAGCTGCATATTGAAGGGTAATTCTGTACTAAACTGATTTGTAGGCCTTCAAATTGATCTTATTTTCTACCAACCATTTACTAAGTTGTAGTGTTTATTATTACTATCTTTCACACCTGCACTCTCTATTTTGAGACTTTCTACTTGCTTGCATTTCATTTATTAGTTAACATGGGCCAACACCTTGAATTGCAACAAGGAAGACTTTCTTTTGCTGTATGAAGAAGATAGTAAATAGTGAGGATGATTTTTCTACTACTGTACTACTACTACCAGCAGAATTTGTTTAAATAATGATGCTTAATGAATGTGAAGTACATTACCAGTTTAATTCCTATTTGTGATTGGTTGTTGTTGTTGTTGTGGATTGACCATTAGTAGCGGAAACTTTCTCTTGTACGCAGTTGTCATTGCCTATTACGGGTGGACTATGGTTCAGGTTCATATGTTTTGGTACCTTTGTGAAAGATCCAAATTCTTACCGTGTGTGCCAACGTGGATTATCAGCACTATCTCAGTCAGCATTTTGGCATCAATTATATGCTGAAGATGTTCAACTTTTTAAAAACCTCTCTTCAGTAAGGCTGTCGAATTGGACATTGGATCATTATATTTATAATATTGATTTCCATCAATGATATCTGTGGATGAGCCTGTAACTATTAATTGACAATGATGGAATACTTGTTTACTTATAAATTCTTCAGATATTTTTTTTTATCACAATGATGTCAACATATTATACACATTTCTTTTGAGAAATGAAAAAGATTCCGTGAATTGAACTATTTGCAGTAGCCCTGAACTTCAGATCACTTGTGATGAAAAGCTATGTGGCTTTTTTAAATACTTTTTAAGTAGGCCTATATATTTAAATAGAAGCAACTGGTATAAAAAGCTCATTTCCCCGGATGTCCTAATGAATATTCTTTATAATCAGTAAACAATACGTCATTATTTTCACTTAAATCCACACACCTTTGTAAGCTGTCTGAACTTTGTGTCAGTCTTTGTGGTGTGGTTATCCATGCGAGACATTTGACTTCACTGTTGAAAGTTTAGATCTCTCATTCTTTACCTGGCCATGGATATTACCGTCATGAATTGATGATGTTTTGAACTCTTGGGAAGTTTGACTAGATATTTTCAAGACTATAATAAAATGATGATCGTGTTAGTATATTTTTGAGTAGAGTGCGGTCTTTTAAGGACAATGGAGCAGAAGTTTATTAGCCTTCTTCGCTGGCCCTCTTTTCAGGCAGTTTGTAACATTCTTGCTCGTTTTCATTGGCGTATTTATGCTGTGGTAAGTTTGGCTTGAGCTGGTTATTATTACTTTCTAATTTTTTTAATTGCACATGATTATTTTATTCATTTTTATGTATGTGTGTGTGTTAGATTAGAAGCCATCCAACTTACAGTTAAGCAAGCAAGCTACTGTACTTTATCTGCACAAATTTGTATTTTAATGGTGCAGACAAATTTCATTTGGTTGTGTAAAGAATCAAAGTATGCCTATATCCTAATATTTAATGTATAAATCTTCCTAGTGCTAAGTGTTAAACATGGTTAAACCTTAGTTTTGTATACATGTGTTCTTACGTAATTGACTGCGTGCTAGGCAGTTAATACCGGTTTAATATTTCCTGATAAGCAGTAAAGTAAATTTATATTTCCGTATGTTCTTTTCATGGAACAGGTTAGGGTCAATTCAGGAATTGAAATTGATTAATCCTGAAGATCACTGAAAGGAGTCTATACTTTGAATAGTATCAGTAAGTCAATATAAGTTACTTGGTAGTATGATGTATTTATCATACAAATTGATGCATATTAGAAGTTGAATGATAATTCAAGTGATAATTCGTAGCAGTATAGGTTGGGAAATTTACAGCTGAGCAATAAAAATAATAACAGGTACTAACATGCATCTTCTAAGTTAACGTTTAATGTTATTTATATTTGGTTTGATGGAAAATGTGTTAGGATTGCTGCTATTCTCAACAGAATGAAAATTGACAACAATATTTGCTACTACTATTCCAATATTCATGATTTTTTATTTATTGCAATTGGGTGGTTTATTGTTTTTCATTCTACATGAAATAAAGAAATAGCTCTGAAGATATGCCTGCTGCTAACAGCGGTTGCTGCTGTTGTTGTTATGCATAAATAATACTTGTTGCATGAATTTGAGTCAGCTCGGCCCCATTTCAGATCGGCCCCCAAATCACCTCAGCCATAAGTCAGCTCGACACCAAGAAGTCAACTCGACACCAAGAGGTCAACACCGCTCAAATCAACCCCCACCCCCAAGTCAAGGCGCCACAAGTCGACTCGCCCACAAGTCAACTTAACTCCAAGTCAACTCCACCCCAAGTCAACTGAGCCCCAAGCCAACTCAGCCAAAAATCAAATCAGCCGCAAATAAACTTGCCCCAAGTCATCTCAGCCCCAAGCCAAGTCGCCCCAAATCTGCCCTGAAGTATTTATTTATTTTTCCTTTATACTGCAGGCACTCTCAGTATTTTGTACTGGTTTTCAAAGTAATATAGTTAAATAAAATTATGAGTTCATCAGAGTTTAAACTGATATTTTAAAGGGGTTTTCAAAACACATAGACAGTCACTTCTAGACATATATTTACAAACTATGTGCTTATTGATATAGGCTGTAATAAAAAAAAAAAAGGTTGATATTGATCAAACATTGTACAACTACATTGATTGTACTACGTTGACCTTATTATGTTATTTAATGAATGATGAGTCAGCTAGTCAAAATTCACTTGTAAATTGGAAGATGCTAAAAACATTTTTGTAAATATTTTACCGACTTGTTTTAAATATATTTATATATTTATTATTATATTTTTATTGTAAATATTTTAAAGATTGATATTTCGAATTGTGGAATTTTAATTTTTTATCTTATCGGTACATGTTTTTCTCATAATTTTATGTATTTCTTTGTGGAGAACCTCTAGACTGTTATTGTCGTAATAACATTTAGGTAATCCAGCCTCATTGATTTACTTCTGTCCTGTTTTTTTTTTTCTTGTTTTTTGTATCTATAATGAAAAGGCGAAATAAATATGATATGATAAATATTATGCTGTACAAAAAAAAACCAAAAGTAATTATACTTCTAATTCATGTAGTTCACTTTCAATACAAGTGTAATGTTTCTGCATTTCGGAAAATGCATTTTGAAAGTCATAATTATAAGAATGTAAATATGAAATTAAGAAAAAGAAATTAATATTTATCAAAGGAAACTTTGAAACTTTGACAACAGCTTCTCATTCATAAGTTTTTATATGGAAAAGTCCACCCCTAGTTTCAAAGGTTTGCAATGAAATTTTGGGAGCCCTATATTTTTATTGTTATTATGGAACCTGTATTTCTATAGCCCAAAATATTACTTATTTAATTATAAGCCCTGTCTATGTCCTGTCAAAAGTAATTTTCAAACAAGCCATAAAATGATTTAGTTAATCCTGTTGAATTGGAATGGATTAGATTTATTATGTGCGAACACCAAGGATATCCCACGAAGTCAGAATATATACGTTCCAGTGGGGTTCTTCTGGTGGTGATTGGCAGTACACTCACTTCCAAAGAGTGTGCTGCATTTTTAGTTTGCTGCATTTTTCAACATGCACATTGGCCATACAGTGATACACACAGGATCAAGGATGTAACGTCTCTTCCAAAAGATGGTGCGTTTCTTTATATTTTGTATTCCAGCCCTCCAGCAGCGGATGAAATAGAACCATCTTCTAGCACATCTCCACGGTTCAGCACACACCAAGTGGCAATGTAATAATAATATGTCGCTCTTATATAGCGCTTCATGCACAATGCCTCTAAGCGCTTCACATTACTACCCCGGTCATTGGATCAAACACATATGGAACACATACTCAGCTCCCTGGGGAGAATTCCATAATATTGCAGCTAGTAATCAGCGCAGTTGTGTTCGAACCTACCAGGTACCCACTTGTACTCCTGGGTGGAGAGAGGCAACCGTTGTAGATAAAGTGCCTTGCCCAAGGACACAAGCGATTTGCACGAGAGTTTCGAACCCCTAACCTCGAGGTTGGGAGTCCAAGCCACAACCGATGCGCCAACCGCTTCCACCAATTTAGCCGACAATGTACCTCCAATTTAGCCAACTGATGGTAGCTTTGAAATTAGTATGTCCTACTTGGTACAATTTTCCAACATAATATCTAAGGTTTGTTGGTGAAAAGAAAAATTGGGGTCAATTAGCATGTCAAAAGCAAGATACAATGAGTTAAACATTGATGAAAGGTTGGAATGTGTAAACATCTATTGAAGTTGCTACAATAAGATCATCAAATACAAAACTGTAAGCATTGGTGTAAAGGCTTAGACCGAAAAATATAGTATTTTAAAGCACTGTATAAACCAGATTTTAAACTAATTTTTTCACCTTGTAGTGATGGAATTTATATGAACAACTAAAATTTCAAAATATAGTTGGTTATTAAATTGGTGTTTTAAACATCTGAATCTTTGTTAGATATTTTTGTATAATATCTCTGATCTAACAAGATACATTGTTTTACTGACAAGTATTCTACAATTCTTTCCTCCTAGCCTTTTGCTTTGTAACAATCTAATTTGTATTTCCTGAATGCATAATAATAATTAATCAGTTTTCATAGCTGTTGCCAGCTTTGTCCGAGCTCATCACTTGCAGAAGCTACCTGTAGCTAGATCTATCTGCACAATTTCTTTTATTTATTATCATATCTAATGTGGCTTATCTCAAAGTTCTATCTAGTGAAGTAATTGGAAACTTTTGTACTTCCCTCTTGGATGTAAATTATTAATAAATATGATTAAAAAAAACCAATATATTTGCAATACATTTTTATGTATTTATATACTGTCTGTGATCAAATCAAGAATAACCCTGTAAAAATTCAATAAAAATTGAATTGATCATTTTATCAGGTGAGCTCAACTTCTAATAAGGTGCATATATATCAAGTTAAATAAGTTTTTTACTAATTTTCAAACTATTATTATTATAAAAATCCCAACCCAACCAAATTTTGTTTTTAAGGTCTATACAATGAATATAATCTCGAATATAACTGATAATTAACAAAGATACAATTTTCTAGTTTTAATTTTTAATTGAAAGCTAAGGCTTAGAATGTAAGAATGTTAATTTTTGCTTGTCCTCTATAGACAGAAAAATTAGACTGATTATGACATAAGAGTTGTATACATTCTAAGTAGACAAACAAGATGCTTTGAAGGCAATGCTATTCATTTATTTTGTAAAGGTGTATTTGTTATGTTAATCAGCTAACTACCTGTTTTAGGTTGTTATTAACAGTTTATTTCATTTGAACTTGAGAATTGATCTTGAAACATCATTCTTTCCTACCTCCAGATTTTTCTTTTAAAGGTTCAGTGTACAGTCATTATGGGCGATTCGTTTTCGTGAACTTTACTGGAATATCTTTTAATTTTAAAATTGACTATTTGTGAAAATACTAGTGATTGGATGGTATTTATAATAGCAGACAACCCTGCTACCAGTTTAGAAACTTTTGATTTTAATTGCATGTGTATTTGATTTGCTGTTTTTGCAGGGTGGTGGAACGTTGGTTGTTACATTCTCTGAAGACACTTGCTTACCAGACGCTGGTACTTGTATGTATATTGTGTTTTCAGGATCATCTTCACGTCACATCACACAAGCTCAGTGGAAGAATCATAACACTCTACATTCAATTATTCCAGGTAAGTCTGTTCCACGTTCGGATTTGTGTTTGTCAGAGTTGATGATGTTTAATTATATACTTTTGTTTGATAAGGCTGAGCATAGTCAACTTCCTCCAATAAACATGCGAAGACATTAGTTTGATCAAATCTGTATACTTTTAGAATTTTATTACACAGACCTAATATGTTTGATTGGACATTTGATGAGATACTGAATTATCTGGTTGTTTATTATTTATGGACAAGAAAAAACCAAGAACATGTTAAAAACTTAGTAGACTTCAAGGATTTTTTTCCCCCAAAATCTTTAATATTTAAACCTGTCCTCAGATTTTCTCTATCATGACTGGAGTCAAGGTGAAGTCTCATGCTGAAGAAGACTTGAGGACATATTGAAATATTCATGATTTTCATTTGATCACAGTTGCTTGTGATTTATCCTGTTTTTTGGGTTTTTTTTGTATTAAATAATGTAATATGTAGAGAACGATTTGTCCTATTTGGAATATCGAAGAGAATATAACAGACTTTACTTCATGTAGTACTTCAAAACAAATATAATTGATAGGTCCTCTTAGGCCGAGCACTCACTACATCGTACGACTGTCAACCGACAAATGCGACCTACAATTGTCGGCCGCCAACGAATGCGTCCTACGACCGCCGGTCGACGAATGCGTCCTACATTTGTCGGCCTACGAATGAGTCATACGACCGCCGGCCGACGAATGCGTCCTACGAACGTCGGCCGACGAATGCGTCCTACGACTGTCATTTGCAGTCTGAACGGATCATCGTTAAAAACGATCCGTTGTGCGCACGTCCTAGTGATGTGTCCTCTATAGAATCAGTTGGGCGCATTGAGTGGCCTGGCTTTATGCTTGAATCCCAATCTCACAAATACATTTCAAATAAAATATTTATCTTGTATAAAATGATGATTTTTGCAAGTTTACAGTTATTGATTTTTAAGATTTTATCTTGGTACAGTATATATTAATAAATGCCAACAATTTTTATTATTGTAACATTGCCTTTTCTATTAATCATGTCCCAAACTTATATTCAATATTAATTATGTATACCTTTACTAGGAATGAATAGGAGGATCTTATGTTTATAACTTATGTAAATCATTATTTCCTTAAAACAGTATTATAGTATTACCATATATGAAATTGTATGTATTGTTATTTAGTATGCATAAAAGTTTTATAAAATTGAGAACAATAACAGTATTATTTTATTACCTTTTAAAATGCAATGGAGGTTATTGACATGCTAGAAAGATTCCAAGTTTTGTCGGAATAAGGAATGGCAGATTTAACAATGATATTGTTGAGGGTAGACAATGCCGCAAATTTTAATTTGCAGGATCTTAATAAGCCTTGCAATATAAGCTTTTTATTTTACCGCCACTAGAAAAGTTGCATTGTTGTTTTTTTTTCAAGTGAATAAATATTAATTTAAAATAAGACCAAAATTGTTGTGTTGCATAAGCAGAGATGTTCGGTTGGTTGACACTACAGGTCGGTCATTTTGTTTACTGTAGTCCCAGGCCTATGTGATTGGTAATTCATTGATTCCTGCCTTTTGCTGGAAAATTTATGCTTAAGGAATCAAATACATTAAGGTATATATATATATATTATATATATTTGGAATCCTTTGGGAGAAAAAAAATCATAGCAGACTCTGGATTTTCAAGAATGTGGGTTGGACAGCCTTGTGCAACACAAACTTTTTAAATGCTAATAATTAAAATGGAATATTTTTGTAACTGCAGAACTGTTTTAATCGGTAATAAACCAAACATAATGAATGTTACTGTGAGCTTTTGTTGATTTTTTCAACATGAATCCATTAGGCGATTTGAGCTAGCATCCATTGTTTTGGGCATTGTATTACATCCATTGTTTGGTTTATTACTAATTAAAACAGTTCTACAGCTATAAACAAACCAGATGAGGCTATTCAAATATTTATGAAATATTATAATATTCAAATTGCAAAGATAATTGATGTCATAACCTAAAAACAGGATCTAAGAACCAGTTATACTTACTATTGCATCCCATTCAATGCAAATATTTCAAAATAATTTATAACAAATACCCATTAAAAGTATAGTCGTTTTAATAATAAATAATAATAATAGTTGGATGTGTATGGGTTTAAGACAATAATTGCACAGAAAATGCCCTTAGATACAATTAAGCATTTACTCTATTCTTGAAAAATAATTACATGTGATGAAGTTCTTTTCACGTCCATATGCTGAGTACATTCCCTACACAGTTTTGACTATAGCTATACCAACTTTAAGAATAACAGAAGTACTAAAAGTCCTACTGTAGAATTAATGAATAAATAAATAATGAAAAGTAGGTGCTTTGCTGGATAATGCACTTGGCCGTATGAATGAAGTTTCCATTGGCCAAATAAAAAATAAATCAAGTTACTTGAGGTCTGGGTTTTATTTTAGATAGTGCCAGATGAGGGCCTTTTATATTATTACTGTATTATTAGTTATAAAATTATTATTATATACTGTTACTATTAATATCATCATTATTATAGAAATATGTATGTAGTTTAAGAGGGATGGGGGTGAGGTGCCAAGCTTGATTAGCTCTTGCTATACCTTGGTTACCTTTTGTATTCATATGTTTGATACAATAAAGAAGAATGTTGATGTTGACGTTATTATCATATGAGTCATCATTTCTTCTAGAATTTCTAGGTTCCTTGTGAAAAAAAAGAAAAGAAATATGGGCGGTACAGAAAAATTAACAGGACAGGACAAGAAACATAAAAAAAAAAAATTTAATTTGTCTTTGGGAACTTTATTGCAAGTCCCCTGGCCACCAGCTTGTCAGATGTTTAACATATGGTGGCCATGCTGTGTTCTGTACAGGCTGTAGGTTTATAAATCTTGTGTGCACACATTACTGACTAGTGGTGGGTGTGTGTGTGTCAGCTTTCTTTGATCAATGCGTACATATATTATCTATTGAACAACTATGATAAGATCTGATAAGTACCGTATGTGCTCCATACTGCAGAGTGAAACGGGAAGTGGTTAGTGAGAAATGCATTTTATTTACTTGGAAAATTGTATTATCAGGCACTTATGTAGAAAAAAAACTGAACATTTATGGTGAGTGAGAGGGAGTATGAATGTTGTATAGTTGGATTTAGTTATGATAACAGTAAAGATAAGAAACAAATTAAAGATTACAATGGAGAAAGAATGACGACGTGGCCGACTTCAATTTAATGTAGATTAGGATGGTGGCGATAAGGTGTGATTATGCATGATGATGATAGGAAAGGTAAAGCCAAAACTAGAGCACTGAACTTCCAGTGCAGAGTGCTAGTCTCTTTCCTTGGTAATTGGTCCAAGACTGTAAAGATTAATATTGTCACAGAATGGATTCTGCACTATGTGTAGTTTTAATTTATTTTCTTAAACATGAATATACCTGTGTATGAATAATAGCAGATAATATTGTAGTACTTAATCACTAAAGTAGCAATAATAAATTTAATTGATTTTACAGGTAGAGCCTTTTTTACATCATTTATATAAAATATAGAAAGTATTACATGTACTGTAAACATGGTGTTATCTGGATATTGGAACATTATCTCTTACTTATTATGTTACCATTCTTTTTTGTCTTGATTTCATAGGACACAACGCATTTGAAACTGTAAGCCTTACTGTTCAAACTAGTGGGAGTGATGGCGGCAGAGTAATTGCTTCGGGGGAATTTAATTACCACGAGGATAGTACGCATAATATAGCTCGTTTTTTAGCCAACAGTACACATGATCCAAATACATTAAACCACGTTAATCTCAGTGACGAGGACCTTTCCACATTGGACCAACGCTTACGACTTGCCTTTGAGAACTTGGATTTACCAGAATCGTGGCGTTTGATAGAATCGTCTGAGCATTTAGTTCAAGGTTTGTTTTGCATTTTAGGCCTATGTTTCCAATACTTCGGGTATGACTGTATCTAGAAAGTTTGGAGAGTCTTAGGTATAGTTAAACTATGGGTTACAAGGGGTGTAAATCTGAAATATGCATGTAGTGATTGCCTGTGATGATTGTTTTAATTGGAAAGTGTGTCAGACCCTGGGAGCTGACTTGCATACCAACCTTACGGGGATGTGCAGCAGCCACTCCAAGACATGAGACACTTGCGCTACCTATTCTACTGAAAATTATTAGGGACTACCATTTACCAAAACTACCATTTACCAAAATCCAGTATCGGTTGAACTACTATTACGGCCATGTAACCCAACAAGTTAAACTTGTTCTGGTTCCCGATGGTGAATAAGACCGCAGTTATGTCCGTTCGCAATCTCTACTCTAGGTTTGGCACGGAGTTTTCAGCAAAAAACTTTGCTAAAATCGTGTGAAAAATTATACTGCTTTGATGATACTGGATGGGGCAGGGACTTTAACTACCAATTTTACCTGGTATTCCCAGCACTTCTACGAAGTCCACGCAAGTATACCCTATACATGCTGAAATTCTTTCATAAATCCCCACACTTGTGCGACCAATTCCTCAAAAATACCCCCGTAAATGCAGCACCTACCCGTATTGAAATATTTAGGAGTGAGCCCCTGGGGTGTTAGAGTATGTCTGAGTGTATGTGCAAATTAATTCATTATTAATCTTATAATTTCATCATGGTTTTTTCCTATTTTATTTTTTTTACTTCTCAGCTCCAAGAGAAACTTTACTTCATTTTGCTGCCAGGCACCGATTGACCGAATTTGCATTGTATCTTCTAAACAAACCATCAAGGGAGCTACAAATAGCTTTACGTCTACCCAATGAACATGAGGAAATACCAATTGACATTGCAAGAGGTCAAGGTCTTGACAATTTAGCCAAAGAAATGCAAAAGTAAGTTTTTTATATTGGCCAATGATTATTGAAAATGGTTTCTTTGTTGTCTGATTCAAAAAATTTTGACTTTGTAAAGAAATTTACACTTGTTGTATATAAGGGTCCCAAGTCTCCTGGAACTCGCGGGAGTCTACCGGAATTTGGAGCAGCCTCCTTCACTCCTGAAAGCAAGCAAGAATCTCCCGGAAATAACCCATATCCCACAAATTCATAAATATTTGCATGTTTTTACTGATGTTTATCAATTGTCATCTGGAAGTCAGTGCCAATGGGATCACAATGTGCAGCAAAATATAATTAAGTGTTACAAAAGCTCATTAACCAGATTACTGGTAGATTCAAGAGGGAAACTCCTCCCACCCCTTAAATTTTTCAAAATTATTTTTTAAAAATGGAGAAAAAAAGAAAATCATATTTAAATTTAAATCTGAGAGTGCCATTTCCAGCCATCTAGAGGTGCCATAATCATAATTTTCTTACCATGGTTGGTATAGACCCTGCATCTGCATGAGCCCCTCCCTACCCCCTGTATTTTAATTTCTTGGATTCACCACTGCAGATCTCCTGGAATTGACTTCTTCCAACCTGGGACCCCTGTGTATTCTAGTCTGTCAACGTCTTTTAGAAGATCTCTAACAACTGCTCTTGAATAACCAGCAACCCTTTGCTGAGCCTCAATAGATATCATTTGGCCTGAAAGTATAGAATACAGAGTTGATTATCGCTGTGTACATTACAAGATATCAGTCAACTGTTCTTTGATACATAGTATAAGGCACGGTCATATCAAGAAAAGGCAATTGCCCCTTTTACCATTTTTGAGGAGCTGTTCTGTGTGTCGAATAATAACATATATCATTTTCTAATCAGTTATTAGTGAATATTACCTAGGTTGTGTGTACATATAGGAGTGATTACATTTATATCGAAGATTATAGATTTTTTTATGAGCATATAATGGTCTGTGGGTGTTGATAATGCTTGTTTGAATAACTGTACTTTATATATTTTACTCTGCAATTATAAAACTATGCCGAAGATTAATACACTAGACTAAATTTTTGTATCTACTGTAATGGGCATTCCTGATACTCATTAATTTTTACTTTTCTTGTGCTCAAGTCTTTTATTTTGTATGTTGAGTATCGTAGAAATTCAATCAATCAATCAATCTTTGTATCTAACAAAATATAAGAATAATAATGATGATATGAGTAATGATGATAAGTATACAAACACAATTTATGAAATATATTTATAATTGCAGCTCTACTTTTTTGGAGACAATACAAAATACACATTTACATAGCATAACAAAGACTTAACATGTATTGTATGGATATAATTAGTACTGGCAGAAAATAATCATTTAAAAAAACAACAGCCCACTATACAACGTGTTGTATAGACCTTTCAGATACTATAGAAATGCACATATCATTTGTCATCTTTTATGCATGTAACGAAAAGGTAATGTGTAATTTGACTTGTCCTACTGTACATTGTGCGGAACTCCAGTCTTTGTACTTGGTAATAACATCTTATCTATATGCGAAGTTGTCTTTCGCACTGTTTATCTGAATCTAAATCGCACATGCATCACGTTCTGTTTTCGAACCTTCAGACCAATGTTAATCTGTTGCATGACATTTACAACGGAAGAATAAATATACAGATCGCGGCTATCAATCAAGAAATCACTTTCCTCAGGACGAGGCTGCTAATTGCCATGTACCTTAACGAGTAGAAGCAATTAAGTCACATTCCTAATTATCACTAGGTATCTTGGAACAGACACCATGCATTATATGTCTATTAATAACAATAAAGACACTGAAATTAAATGATGTTACACACATTGAATTCAGCAGATAGATTTTTCGAATAACTTCCACATACCCGGCATGATTCCATCTCAGTGGGAGGCACAACACTGAATGTATTTACATGATGCCCATATGATTATCATTTCAAACTGGCATCTGCCAAGTATTGCGAAAGTATTTTATCTCTTTTCACCCCCTCATCCCACACGTTATGCAGTCATGGATAAGTGACGTTTATATTCAAAGTATTATTATCTAGATCATAAATTTAATATAACACAATGGAAAGATATGTAGAAGGCAGGTTGACCTTAGTACAAAGGTCGTCAGACTGTATTGACCAATACATAAAGTCTGTATTACATTATTTTGGGAATAAGGCTCACTACCATTTACTAGACAAACATCAGGATATTTACTTTTCAATAGGATTAGAAATATGAACATAGGCTTACAAATATATTGTGATGTCAGCCTGCCGGATGGCCACTTTAAAGATTTAGCTGGACTAGACCTATAGTGTTTATAAATAAACAGCTGAATATGTTTGGGGCCTATATAAGGTTCTCTTCATATTGATTTGTTTTGTATTGACCCCATTTCTTTTCTGTGAACCCACCAGAACCTACAGCAGAAGAAACATCTTCCCTTTGAACACCATGTGTTCTAATAAGTTCCAAGGTTTTTAATGGTTGGAATCAAATGCTTTATTATACTAGCAAGTTTAAAAACACTTCTCGTCTCAACTCCCTGCATTTCTTTTGTAATCCACAAGGCTGTTTAATATACTGATTTTTATAAATGTTCCATTTCCAATCACATTATGCATACAATGACTGTATTTTTTTTATATATGTAGAATTTGTTTTTCATAAATACCAAGACTCCCTGATAACAAATGAAATAATAAAATTATAAATTTCTTACCAATAATGAGCAGTAAGCCAATGTCTATGAGTATCTAGTGTTCTGTACGACTGTATCCATATACATTTTAATTTACTTACTATTTACTTTATGTTTGAACATTAGCGTGTGTCTTTGTAGTGTCTTTCAATGGCTTTGCTTGTTTGGCTGTGTCCACTTTGGATTTATATGCATTGTTATTTATGCTTTTTATCATTCTAAATATTAGAATTTTCAATTTCATTTATTTTGTCTCAGTAAAATACACAAAAACAACAACTGGTTACAATACGAGATACTGTAATAAAAGCATAAAATATCAGAAATAGGCCAAGACAGGATTCCTAAAAATGAACTAAATCACTGTCTAGTAGTTCTCGTAGTGCACTATTCCAATACACTTAGATAATAAAAAATGTACCAGTAAAATAAAAATTGAAATCTGTAACATTAAAATACCAATAAAAATTCATAGGTTTAGTTTTTGTACTTTTTATTGCCCCTGTTTGTTTTGAGAAATTTATCAGCTCTACCAGTATGCATGACCAAAATATTGTTGAAATAAATAATATAATATATAAACTAAAAATGATTGACAACTAACTTCTTGCTCAGATATCTTTGCGATGGGATATCTATCTACATACACTAACTAATATCTTAGTTTATGTAAATATACTGTAGATAGTATTTGGACGGTACGGTACGGTGGGAACAAATTGGACCAACAATTCAGTTGAACTTCCTGGTTGTGTAGTCTTGTTGGATTTGCATGTTATTTGTTGCTATAGTCATTTCTTTCCTTAGAATATCTGCTTGTCATTGACTAGTGGTTGAATAGGAAACATGTGAGAGATAATTTAGTTTTACTTTCCTTTAATTTTATTTTAGATTTGTAGCAGTGTATGAATGTAGTAATACTTCACATGTACATTATGAAGAACCTCCCTTGAAATGACTTCAGATTTTCATGACCATCCTTTGTGTGTAACATTATAAAAAAATAACCCAAACCAAACCATTTACTTCTTCTTAGAGCCCAATCACACTTAAGAGTTACTGTACATCGCCTCAGGGCCAGCCCAGGGTCTGCATTTTTTAATTATGAACAATCAATAAATGTTAAGCTGGCCCTGAAATTACATCCCTGGCTAAGTCCCCTCTAGGCCTGGGTCTGGGGGGTGGGTGGGGGCTTTGGCTAGCTGGGACTATAATTGGCAAGTGCAGTAGTAATTACCCATACTGCTATAGTGGTCCATGTTATTGATTGATTCAGAAAAACATGATTAAAGTCTTCAATTTCACCACATGTTTGATATTCAGGCCATTTTTCTTTTAAAAATCTGCAGCTTTATGGCGATATATCTATATAATACGCCAATTATTAACGGGACATTTTTTTTAACGTAGCTTACGCCCTGTGCATACACACTTACCTATGTGAGGTAAATCCACCAGCCACATAGCGTGTTTCGGCCATCGTCAAGCATTCCAGACGTCTGGCCATTGGCTATTGTTTGATAAAAAGAACTTACAATTGACCAATGATGTGCTATTTTTTAAATATGCCTACTCAAGTTACTAACCAAACATCAATATACCATATTTGTACTTTATTTGTTAGTTATTTTTTGAATGTCTGTCATTCCCATGCTTTATTGTTACCATCTGCCAATAATAATATTTTGAATAGAAATAACTCATTTGAATTATATAATGACAACTGACTTTCTCAACACCTGGTGAGCAAACATAACTGTGTCAACATATTTTGTTGATTAATTACACATAGTTCCGCCTTTCATAGTCTTATACTTTCATGTGCAAAGGAAGGTATATTCTGTATGAAGTGACAAGGAAGTTATAAAGGAGTAATGTTGACCTAACATAGTCAAATCAAATTGTGCATTTTATTTGGGGGTGGGGGAAGAGGAGAATTTGACTAAAAAATAAGTATTAAAGAGGATTATGATTTGATCTACAGTCTGTCAGGTATTAACTCAGAAGGTGGTCATCATATCTTATACCAATGGAAGAGTGTTCACATATGGTAGTTCCTCTCACTATAAACTACATTAGAACCCCTATTAAGGGGATACATTTGGGACCAAAAAAAGTGTCCCCTTAATATGGGTGTCCCCTTAATAGGGATATCCTAAAGGAAGGTTCTACTGTATTGACAACAAGAATTGGCCACTGATCTCTAATGCTAAATGATTGTTTCTCTTCTCCAAGCATCAAGCATGCATGTTAACCAAGAGCAAC